GAAATGCTGAAAGGTATCCTTTAAGAAGAGGAAGAAGAAGAAAATGGTAGATACAAACTATGAACAACAAATACACATCTATCAACAAGTGAATCTAAGAATCAAGTGAATAAATAATCTGATGAACAGAGTGAACTGGTGATTATAATAGAATCAGGGACATAGAAAGGGAATGGACTGACTATTCTTGGAGGGGGGGGGAGGAAGGGGTGTGGGGGATGCGGGAAGAGACTAGACAAGAATCGTGCACCTATGGATGAGGACAGTGGGTGGGGAGTGAGGGCGGAGGGAGGGGTGGGAACTGGAAGGAGGGGAGTTATGGGGGGGAAAAAAGAGGAACAAATGTAATAATCTGAACAATAAAGATTTAATTAAAAAAAATTGCAAAAAAATAATAAAATATAATAAAAAATAAATAAATAAAAGTGAGTCTGTTAGAATAGATGGGACCGGAAGCTATGTGTGTTCCTCTTGGGGTGTAATGAACCCACGGTTTCAGGCCTTGAAGCGACTCCAAGCCAGTGTTCACCTTGTTCACACCAATAATACCAGGAGCACAAATGAAAAGCAAACAGTGGTCAAAATATGTAGGTCAGAAGCTCAGAGGTTTTTGCAACAAGAATTGGCTGAGAAATACAACACTTTGCTGTTCCTGCTACACATGATCAAATATTTTCTGATTTCAGCAATTGTGGACGTTTCTCCCCAGTGCTGGCTGCTGCTCCCGATTGCTCATTGCCTCCCCTTTTAGACTGTAGGGCCCTCGGGACCAGGGACTACCTGTCGAGGTGGTTCATCCTTGATCCTAACCCAGCACAGCCTGGCATTTTGGAGATGCTCATTAAATGTTTGAATAAATGAGGGAATGAAAGCATAAACGAATGAATGGGAAAATGAGTTAGTTCCTGGTCTTGACTTTGATGTCCTGCTGGGGGAGATGGATGGCCAACTGTGTGACTTTTTCACTGTTCCTAGCCTTGGTGGGTCTCTCACTAAGACCTTGGGCGTATCTGCTGACATGCACTCAGAAAGAGATGGTAAACAGGTCCCACACATCTATGAATCTTTGCTGGGATTCACGGGATAAACTGCAACGTACATCAGTGGGTTTCTGCTGCACGAAACACAAATGCAATAGTTACTATAATAACACAGCTGAAGTATTTACAATCACTGTAGATGCTCAAGATTTCATATTTGTAAGGTCTGAGTGGAATCATTTTGTCAGTTTACATAAATACAGGTCATATGTACCACACAAGGGTTTTGATGCTATTACCTGCTTTTGAAAGAACACCAATGGTGTTTCTTCTCCTGTAGGCTCACTTTTTTAAATTGTGTTAAAATATACATAATTGTAGCAGGGGGCTCCCTTCTCCGCGTCCAGCACAGAGAGAGAGAGAGACATGCACCGGTTCTTGAGTAGAGGCGCTGGGGATTAAATAATGAAATAAAGATAGACAGGACACAAAAATAGAATAAAAGCTTGGGCCGAGTGTGGCGTCTGCCCCCTGAATGGAGGGACAGAAAGACCTCCAACACCAGAAGTAGATTTAATAAATCCTTGAATAACAGGAAGTTACATCACACCTGGGTGGGCCTTGAGTTCCTGGCGACATCACGAGATCCATCCCCTTAACCCTGGGCGGGAAAGTCAAACTGAGCGGCGTCCCAGTCTCTTGACCAGGTCCGCCCCCGGGGTGTGGCTCTGCCCGCGCTCTGAGTTTCAGCGACACATTTGAAGATGCCCGAGTGTTTGCTAGCAGCCCTCAACACATAATTTTTATCATTTTAACTATTTTTAAGTGTGCAGCTCGGTGGCATTAAGCATATTCACATTGCTGTGTGACCACTAGCGTTATCCATCCCCAAAACCTTTTCATCTCCCCAAACAGCAACTCTGTACCCATTAAACAGTAACTCTCCACCCCGCCCACCAGCCCCTGGCAGCCCCGTGCTCCCTTCTGTCTCTGAATTTGACTACTGTAGCTCCTTCGTATAAGTGGGATCATGCAGTAGTTGTCTGGTTGTAACTGGTTTACTTCACTTAATATAAGAACCTCAAGACTCCTCCTGTGTCAGGAATTTCCTTTTAAAACTGAGTGAAGACACACACTGAGTGGCCAGATTATTATGACTACATGACATTTGTAGGCAAATTAGCTATAATTTCGCGCTGAAGTTGCTAGAGGACCAGACCATTATAAATAGGGAAGGAGGTTGTTTACCACGACGGAAGTGATGTTTTTCTGAAGATATGGGTAAACAATGCGATTTAACAGCCTTTGAACGTGGGATGGAGATTATATATATATATATATATATATATATATATATATATATATATATATATATATTGAGTGGCCAGATTATTATGACCACCCCATCAGTACTTCGTTGGGCACGTTTTGCCTTCAGTACTGCGGTGATTCTTCTTGGCATTGACTCCACGAGATGTTGAAAGATGATGCGAGGAATCTGACACCATGCCTGATGAATAGCACTGTCCAGTTCTGTGAGATTTGATGGATGTGGAACCAGCTGCCTGATGGCTCTTTTAACTTCGCCCCACACATTCTCAATTGGATTGAGATCTGGTGATTGTGGGGGCCACCTAAGCAAGGTAAAGTCTCCTTCATGTTCTTGAAACCACTCCTGCACAATATGAGCACCGTGGCATGGCGCATTGTCTTGTTGGAAGAAGCTATCTCCATTGGGATACGCCATCAACATGATAGGATGAGCTTGATCAGCAATGGTACTTAGGTATGTTGTGCTATTCAGAGGTTGTTCCACACGAATTAAAGGGCCCAAATCATGCCAGGAAAACATGCCCCAAACCATAACACTGCCCCCACCAGCTCGAAGGGTTGTATTCAAGCATGTGGGGTGCATGCTTTCATGCTGTTTCCGCCAAATTCTCACTCTGACATCTGCATGATGCAACTGGAAACGTGATTCATCGGACCACATGACTTTTTTCCAATGCCCGACTGTCCAATCCTTGTGTTCCTGTGCGAATTGGAGATGTTTTATCTTGGTAACTGCAGACAGCAAAGGTGTTCGAACAGGCCTTTGGCTTCCGTATCTCATACAATGCAGTGTACGGCTAATTTGTCTACAAACGTTAGGTGGTCATACTAATCTGGCCACTCAGTGTATATGCCACATCTTTATTCAGTCGTCGCCGGTTGACACTTGGGCTGCTTCCACCTTTTGGCTGTTGTGAGTAATGCTGCTGAATGTGGGGTGCAAATACCTCTCCGAGTCTCTGCTTTTAGTTCTTCTGGGGATATGCCCCAAAATGGAATTGCTAGGTCATGTGCTAATCCCATTTTTAAGTTTTTGAGGAACCACCATACTGTTTTTCATAGTGGCTGTACCAATTTATATCCCCAGCCACAATGCAGCGGGTTTCAATCTCTTTGCATCGTCACCCACACTTGTGATTTTATGTGTGTGCTTTGTAACAGTCGCCCTAATGGGTATCTGGGCCTCTCACTGTGGTTTGGTTTTCATTTCCCTGATACTTTGTGACGTTGAGCATCTTTTCGTGTGCTTATTGGCCATTGTATATCTTCTTTGGAGAAATGTCTATTCAAGTTCCTTGCCCATTTCTGAATCAGGTTGTTTGGTTTTTGGTTGTTGAGTTGTAGGACTTCTTTAATATTGTGGATATTAATCCCTTATAAGATAGATGATTTGCAAATATTTTCTCCCACACTTTTTAATCAATGAAAAACTAACTTCCATATTCAAAGGGTCATAGGTTAGGACCAAGCCTCTGCTTTTCATGCGGTTCCTCACTGTGTTCCATGACATTAGTGCCAAGACGGAAGGGCAGGATGTGTCCGCATTGGGGACCATTGGGACTATTTGGCTTGTGTCACAATTTGGAAGACAGAAACAATTCTTGGTTTATGCAACTCAGTGTAGGAAAATCCCAGAGAAAGCCCAACACAGTGGTCCTAGTTGGCCTTTGAATGGATGAAGGGGTGGCATAGGGTCACTGCCTCCGTCACTTCTCCTGGATGCAGAGGGAGAGAGTGGAGAGCTGTGAGGCAGGGGCGAGCTTAGATGGTGCTGGGGAGGAGGAAGGAACGTTGCTCTGCTCTCTAGGCTCTCTCGGCTGGTCCAATAGTCAAATAGACATGAGACAGGTTAGCAAGAGAAAATAACCAAGTTTAACATATGCACACGTAAGGGAACTCTGCACACATGAGACAGAGACCCCACACGCAGGAGAGGTTCCAAGACAGAAAGGGAACATGGGTGTATAAGACATCCCAAGCTAACGATGACCTTGGGGCTTCAGAGGGGAGGAAGGTCACTGAAGGACGATTAGAAGAGCAGATGATCACTAATTAGAGGTTTGCTCTGCCGTACAGATAGGTCATAAAACGTTATCTCTGATCATCTCTACCTCTAGGCAAAGCCCCGAATTCAAGTTCTTCTAGGTAGGTATGAGGGGAGGGGCAGAAGTTTCCTTTGAGCCCACAGATCTCAGAACAATCCACACACCACTCAGGCACATCTTGGGGTGACTCGTCCTGAACCCCCACAGTGCCCTCCCACTTTGTGTCATATGTTGAATAAACTTTATGCCCTATGTCAGATTTCCTTTTATTTATTTTATCTTAGAGAGAGGAACATTGATTTGTTGTTCTACTTAGTTATGCATTCATTGGTTGCTTCTTGTATGTACCCTGACCCTGACTGGGAGATCAAATCCACAACCTTGGCTTATGGGGATGGCGCTCTAACCCACTGAGCTACCCAGCCGGGGCTGGCCTTGTCTTTTTAGAATAGGTGCTGCTTCTGGAGAATGGATGGAGGGAGAAGCTGTAAAGACTACCTCTAACTTAATGATCTTTTACAACAATGAGGGCTGTTTCTGCCTCTATTTCTTTCTTTACTTTGTTCATTGGTGTTATTTCCTGCCCTCCCCATGCCCTTATAGGCAGCAGTGCTTTTGATAAACCTCACAATTTACTCCATAGGAAACACACTTTCAAGGTGACAATGGGCCAGGAGTGGAGCAAGAATGGGCATTGCCCAGAGAGGCTAGAACGAAGCGGACGGAGTCACTGATGAGGCTGACGGGTGAGGATGAGCACTTTTATTTCTGTGAGGCCCGGTTGCCTTGTGTTGGAGTTCTAACTGCGTTTTCTTAGATCCCGTATTTGCCTGTTTGGCACCCATTACTCACAGAGCCAAGCGAACGGCGAAGGTTGTTTATGTCTCCCCTGTGACGCGGCTTTTATGGGCATACAAAAATTACATTACAAATCCTCCAACCAATCCTGATCAACATCCCCAACCACCTCCTTTGTCTCCCATACACACACACACACACCAAACCAATATTTGCTCTGCACTAAATCACCCCAGGACCAGGTAACGATCATCTTAATGCGCACAGCTTGCCAACATTATTCAAACTATCCAGTCCTAAGCGGCTTACCCTCTCCGTGTCTCTCCTACAGAAACTCTGATAAATACTCTGGGGCATGCTCTCTTCTTTGCCCTTTCTGCCCTTGGCTGGCCCTGGTGCTTCCCATGTGAGCCTGGAGAGTGTACCGTGACTCCTGCTTCTAGGGACCGGTGACAATCATTTTTTCATGGCAATCATTCTGCTGTCTGCACGTCTCACCACACTTGATTAAACCAATTCTGGGCACAGATTTTAGAACAGTAAAGTGTCAGTATTTTTTTTTTGAAGTGTAATGATGAAAACTTGGGTATGCCTGGATGTTAGGAACCACAGTGTTAGGTTTGGAGGCGCTTCCCAGCATTTAAATTCTTTTAAATATCTTGGGAATGTCCCCACCATGAAGGTTCCACATAGAACAGCGGTTCTCAACCTGTGGGTCGCGATCCCTTTGGGGGTCGAACGACCCTTTCACAGGGGTCGCCTAAGACCATCAGAAAACACACATATAATTACATATTGTGTTTGTGATTAATCACTATGCTTTAATTATGTTCAATTTGTAACAATGAAAATACATCCTGCATATCAGATATTTATATTACAATTCATAACAGTAGCAAAATTACAGTTATGAAGTAGCAATGAAAATAATTTTATGGTTGGGAGTCACCACAACATGAGGAACTGTATTAAAGGGTCACGGCATTAGGAAGGTTGAGAACCACTGACATAGAAGCTCAAAACACCAGATCCTGCTTCCTCTGCCTTCCTTCCATCTAACTCACGGGCACATGACTAACCAGATGTGTCTGTCCTGGCCTTTGCATAGGGAGCTAGTGACACGAGAAAGTAGGGAGAGAGGGGAATTAGTCTGGCAGCAGCGTAGCAGCAGCATCAGGAATGGCTGGTTCCCAGGCACAGCAGCGACAGCAGCACTAGCAACAGTACAGGTTTTGCATCCGGGTCTGCGGCCACAGGGTCCCCCGGGCAGGTGGTGGTCCTGATCTTGGCTCCAGTCTGGCTGATGCTTCCCTGCTCTCACCTGTGCCCCAAGCAAGTTCTCCAGATTTCTAAGTGTTTCTGTGAACTGCCCATTGTCCTTGGATAAAGTCATTTGCTGCTTAAAAGTAAATCACTAGGCTTTTATTGCTTATAATCAAGAACCCTGATTGATACAATCTATGATTATTTTCTTTCTTGCCTCATTTCTGTCTCTTTTCCTTATTTCCTTCCTTCCTTCCTCCTGTCTTCCTGTCTTTGTCTCTGGAGAATGTATGTATTAAATACTTATATAATTTTAAATATACACACACACACACTATATATATATATATATATATAGATATATAGATATATAAATATTGATAGATATATGTTGATATATATATCAAGATGAAAGTAAATATGGTGAAATACTAACATTTGCTAATTATGGGTAATGGGAATATGGGTATTGTTATCATTTTTTATTTTAAGTACTTAAATTTTCTCAAAAGATAATATTAGCAATATACACATGTGTAAGTGTATGCAGAGAGGGTGCTATTCCACTGTGCTAAGCCTTTTATTCATACTAACTCATTGACTCCTCAAACAAACATCCTCCTGTTACATATGAGGGAAATGGGGCACTGAAAGCTTAAGAGACCTGCCCCAAATCACAGAGCCGGAAACCAATCCCTGGCAGTCATGTCCGAGGCTGCCCTTTGCTTTAACAAAATAAGGGATGAAATAGCAAGTAGCTTAAGGGAGAGGCAGAAGTCAAAGCGTGTTTTCAGGATGGAAGATGAACTTACTCATGGGCTGAGGGGGAGGAGAAGGTGAAGACCTGAGGGCACCTGGGGACCATTAATAGATGGGGCACTGTCAGGACCACAGGTGCTGACTGTGCCTGCACGGGAGGAGGAGCAGACCCCTGGTGTGATGCCAGAAGGAAGGATGCCAGAGGTCTGTTGGCGGTTGGGAGGAGGATGACCTTGCTTCTCTGAGAAATGGAAGGCAAGGTCACCAGCCAGGAGGCTGAGAGGTGGCAGGCCAACCAGGTGATAGCAGGAGAGACCTGGTGTTCCCACAGGAGGCTGGCTGGGGGACACGGGGCTCCAGGGGAGAAGGGCAAGGAGAGAACTGTAGGCTGGCTGTCCAGCGACTCCATCCTTTTTTACTCAAAACCACACTGCTCTGTGGACCCACAGACCTAGGACTCAGCAGATTCCCCACCCGAGGGTGGGTCAGGGCCCAGGCAGTGATCCAGGAGCATGGGGTCCTTCAGAGCAAAGAGCAAAGCATCCTAGTAACTGGACAAGGGAAAGCAAATCTGTTGTCTGTCCCCACTGGACACAGACTGAATAGTCACAGGCTCCGCCTCCTCCCCTCCGGAGAGGGTGTGTGTGTGTGTGTGTGTGTGTGTGTGAGAGAGAGAGAGAGAGAGAGAGAGAGAGAGAGAGAGAGAGAGAGAGAGAGAGAGGATGAGAGCGTGAGTGTGTGTGCTTGCCAAGCCAGCAGTCCCTCCTGTGGACGGGTTTGCCTTTTACCTACAGATGCCTTTGTGTGGAGCTCTCCACGCCCTCTCAGTAGCACCTGCCTGAGGCTTCCCTGGCTGCCAGGGCTGGGAGCCCCGGGCAGACCGACCTGTCTGCAGAACTTGTCCGGCCCTCCCCGGGAGGCCAGCCGGACTCTCAGAGCCAGGTCTTCCTCGTCAGGCTCTGAGTGGCCACGAAATGAAGGCACCCAGCTTTGCTCTGTACCTGCCGCTCTGCTTTGGGGGACTTTTGTCAGCTGACCAGGATCTCCAAGCCAGGCTGGTTCTCCGCATTCTTTGAATGGCCGGTCTTCTTCTGTGGCCACAGGTAAGAAAGGTGCCCCCACGGCTTGTGTTGGGAACATTGTGGGTGTGGGGACCTTGTGGGGGTGAGGGCAAAGGGATATTACCAGATTAACAGCTTCTGGGTACTTAGGAGGGGGTATGTCAGAATGCTGGAAGTGACCTGCTCCTAGGAACATTGTAGTCTTCTGGTTGTCCCCGCCGGGGCTGTTCAGAGCGTGGTGACAGTCAACCCCTCCCACGGGGAAGGGGAGCTAGCTTCAGGAGTTATCGCTTTACTATATACTACATTCAGTCTGCCTCGATGTCATTATTACTCCTATTCCTTCTTTTGTCGTGTATTCACTCATTCAGTGACTACTCCATGTCCTCTCATAATGAGTAACAGACATCAATGGTATTCACTGACTAGGAAGGTAGCAAGTTCTTCATTGCTGGGGTTTCTGAGGCTAGAATTTGGAGAGCATTTCTAGGTCAGCTGGTGTGGTGATCCAGATGACCTCTAAGATTCACTCAACCTTGAGATGTTAAGCTTCTGCGATTGCTCAGTTTCTTGAGCAGAGCAGTTATACAAACTACCAGTATGCTCCACCCCCCACCCCCACCCCAAGAGCCTTTGGCTGAAATTATTTGGAAAAAATAAGTATCATTTCCTTTAATCAAGGGGCTTTTTTGGGGGTATTGCTGGTTGCAGGGACTTGAGACTCCCATGCTGGGGTGGGTGGGGTGCTAATGGCAGGGAGGGGCTGATGGGATCTGAGCAGGCTTTCTGGGGAAGTTGGTGCTTGTGAAAAGAATAGAACGTGGCCTGATGGGTGAGAGGTTGTAAACCAGCTGCAGTGGGAAGATAGACAAATAAGCAAGCCCAAGGAACCTTGACTTCAGTGGGTCCAGGATTCAAGAGGGCGAGAGAGGCTGGGATGGGTTGGGGCGGTGGTGAGGCTGGCCTGGACACCCTCGTCCGTCAGCAGCAATACCAGCTCAGCGGGGATGTTAGCGCCTGCGCCCTTTATGCAGTGTTTGTGTGATTTCTCTGTGCGCTCCATCCACCCAGACCCACTCTACAAACGGGGACGTCACCCCACAGCCACCTCCCCCATGCGCCTGCCAATCCCCCCACTTCCAGGATCAAAGGGTCTAGGGCTCTTTCTCTTTTAATGTCTTTCTAATAGGAGGTCGAAGGTCACTCTAATTACAGGCAATTGCCTGGAACAGTTTCTCCTTTGGTTTCCGGTGACAAATTAATGAAATGATCATAGTGTGCTCATTACAAGGGATGCAAATTTGAGGCATCTTGCAGGGATAGGTCTTCTAGAGTCTATTGAATCTCATTTGCACATTCTTCCAGAGGGTCCTGGGTACCTCTCTTTGGATCTTGATATGATGCAATTTTAGCATGCCTGGATTTCTATTTTTCCTTCCTACTCTCACTAATTGGGGGGGGGGGGGGCATTTGTTTTATTTAGTGCATTTGATTGGAAGGAGGAGTGAGTGAAGTTGCACATAGAAGGACCTCCTACAACCTTGGATTTAGGTGAGTCTGGCTTTGGAGTGGGGTACCTTTCCCTTCTCACCACCTGCCTACTGCAGACTTCTGTTCTGATAGTGGCTTAGCAATGACAGTCCTAGTGCTAGAACTGTAGAAAACGTGCAAGTACTGGCCCAGGTGCTCACAAAATTGCCCTCCTGGTTGGTGCCACTGGGTAGTGCTTTACTGCATTATAGTTTAGAAGCAAATCAGTCAATACTTCTGAACATCAGTATTTTTAAAATTTATATAAAAGGGATAATAATATATCTTCCCCATGCCCTCCTGAGGGTGATGTGAGGCCTAAGAAAGGGCACAAAAGTGCCTTGCAAACCTTAAAGTTGCACAAACGCAAAGAGTTCTTAGGAAGGTCTTCTAGGAGATGCCAGCCAAGGGGACCCTAGAGTCTTCTCTCCTTGTGCTCGCCCAGCCCTGTTTTCTTACAGCTAACCAAAAACAAAGCAGGGACTCTGTGCATGTGTGACTCTAGCGCTGAATGACTGAGTTTTAGAACTCCTCTTTATTTTAACAGCAAACAAAACTTCTAGATGGTGGTGCTAGTAGAGGTCAGGTGGTCAGGTAGTCACTGATGTCCCCAGGTAAGTTCAGAGGGGATGGGATACACCCTCTGGGGCAGAGGATGGTGGAGACAAAGGGAACCGGAAAGGGAGCTCTGTGGTTGTCAGGTTCGAACTGAGTGAGGAGAACAGAGGAAAAAACTTCCCTTGCTCTGAAGTTTTCCTGGGTGTTGATGAGATTTAGTCTTTGGTGGCGACACCAGAAACTTTTTTTTAAATCTCTTTTTATTTTATTATTGATTTCAGAGAAGAAGAGAGAGGGAGAGAGAGATGGAAACATCAATGATGAGAGAGAATCATTGATCGGCTGCCTCCTGCACACCCCACACTGGGGATTGAGCTGCAACCTGGGCATGTGCCCTGACCGGGAATTGAACTGTGACCTCCTGGTTGATAGATCGATGCTCAACCACCGAACCATGCTGGCTGGGCTGACACCAGAATCTTTAAATTCAACTCAACTCACTCAACTCAAGCATCTCTCAGATGCTTACACAGAATCAGAATCAGACTCAGGGAAGAACTTCCCAATAGGAGGAGAGGTAAAAAGCCAGGAAGGAAGGCCTCCGGGAACTTGGGCCTCTCAGCATGGCTGTGAAACCAATGGGACTAACTGAACAAAGTCATACCTCAAAGCAGGTGTGGATGAGCAGATGAGGTTCTAGAATTTTCCTTCTTTCTACTCTTCTCTGCAGCGTTCTCATCAGGACCACCTACGCTCAGCTCTCTGTCCCCAGTGTCTGGAACATTGTTGGCCCCATAACAGTAGCAGGAGTGGAAAGATGAATGATTAAAGAAAAGAATGAGTCATTGGATTTCGGAACAAGTGTTCCATGGTCTTGTTCTCTAAACTAAGCCCTAAGCCTTGGTCTCCTTCAGACTCTTCAGTCTTTTTTTTTTTTTTTTTTTTTTATATATTTTATTGATTTTTCATAGAGAGGAAGGGAGAGAGATAGAGAGAGTTAGAAACATCGATGAGAGAGAAACATCGATCAGCTGCCTCCTGCACATCCCCCACGGGGATGTGTCCGCAACCCAGGTACATGCCCTTGACCGGAATCGAACCCGGGACCTCCCAGTCCGCAGGCTGACGCTCTATCCACTGAGCCAAACCGGTTTCGGCAGACTCTTCAGTCTTTATCCAGCTGGCACACATGGTCAACAGACGATGCCATGGGGATTTTTGTGCCCTGATAACCATGGAGCACTGGGTCCCTGACCCAACCCTCTGCAGCTGCCAGCAGCTTTGTGGGCACGATCCCATCTGCTCGCTGCCCCCATCTGGAGAGGTGGTCAGGGCGGAGAGTGTGCAATCCTTCTCTTCTAGATAAGACAAAAATGCCAGAGGGTCGAACGCCCTGCGCAAGGCTGCTCAGCAGGTGGTGGGGCCAAGACTCAAAGCCACACTTACAGACTCCTCTCCTGCAGGGAGGGCGGGAGGGCGGGGTGACAGGTTGAGGAGACATGAAGCACCAGTGATGGAACCTACTCCAAGAGTTGGGACTGAATGGAATGGCCTGGGGGCATGAGGATGAGCCAGATGGAACGGGTTTTATGACTCCATTAATAATAATTCTGATCCCCACCTGACCTCGGTGGTGACACTATTAAAGGACCTCCAGCCGTATCCTTTTTTTTTCTTTTTAAATTGCACTAAAATATAGATATAAAATTTACCATTAGTGACATTTGGTACATTCACAATGTTGTACAAGTTGTCACCCCTATCTAGTTCCAGAACATTCTCATCATCCTAAAAGGAAACCCTGGTGCCCGCTATTTGTATTGAGAGTCAGATAATGTACTGAGGACCTGGCCAGAGCCTAACACATCGATACGAACAAGATATGCCTGAATGTCAGACAACCCCAGTCTCCCAATGAGGAAAGTTTTGTTTTATTAAAACACCAACTTGAATATGTAAACTTTTTAGGGTAATATTCATATATTTTCCAGGGACACGTGTTTTCATTCACACACTATATAAAATAATACATTCACTTAAAAACACGGCTTTCCCCCAACTCTCCACATTCGCTCACATCTTTGCCACCGGTGTCTTCCTTATAACCAGAAGCACTTTCTGAACCAGCTGCCTGCAGCCTGGTTTATAGTATCGTCTCCACAGTGCAAACAGAGTTGGCTATTTCTTATCTTCTGGAATGAAGATGTTTAAGCATTTTTTAAATAACAGCTTCTTTGAGATATAACTCACATACCATAAAATTCTTATGTTTAAAATGTACAGTTTGGTGAATTTTGTATATTCACAGAGTTGTGCAATCATCATCTCTATGTAATTGCAGAACATTTTCATCTCCCCCCAAAAAACCTGCACCATTTGCAACCACTCTCTTTTCTCCCTTTCCCCCAAACCTGGCAATCACTAATCTGCTTTCTGTCCCCATAGGTTTATTATTCTGGATATTTTATATACATGTATCATATAATATATAGTTTTTTGGGTCTGGTGTCTTTCACTTTGTATAATGGTTTCAAGGTTCATTCATGCTGTAGCATGTGTCAGCAACTCATCCTTTTTATGACTGCATAGTATTCCATCTTATGGATATACCATGTTTTGTTGATCTAGCCCTCAGCTGATTGGCATTTGGATACTTCCACCATTTGGCTAGCATAAATGGCACCGAAATTCTTCTTTTGGCCTCCCTTTTCAGTATGTTTATCTTCATTTTATTTTATTTTTTAAATATATTTTTATTGATTTCAGAAAAGAAGAGAGAGGGAGAGAGAGATAGAAACATCAGTGATAAGAGAGAATCATTGATTGGCTGCCTCCGGCACAGCCCCCATTGGGGATCGAGCCTGCAACCCTGGGCACGTGCTCTGACTGGGAATGGAAACTTGATCTCCTGGTTCAAGGTCGACACTCAACCATGAGGTACACTGCCTGGGCTGTTTATCCTCATTTTACACATGCAACACTGGGACCAGACAAAGGGGGACTTTGGGGTCACCTTGTGGCCTCCTCTGTCCAGCGCGTTCAGGCTTATCTTAGGGCAGAGTAGCTGGCTGACCCTGAGAATGTGAAAGGTGCTGGTCCTCAAACCAAGGAGAGCCCAAGGGCCCTCCCCTCCTGGGAGGCCTGGTCCTCACCTTTCACATCCGTGTGGAGTGTGAGGGGCAAAGGCACATCTGTATCGAGGATGCGTGTCTCTAAGACCCTCTCTGGTGCTTGCTCAGTTTGGCGGTGAGAGAGAGCTGCGTGGAATCCAGCGGGCGCTCCGCCAGGTCAGCAACTTGAAGCCCTGCTGGGGAAGGCGTCGAGGTTCAAGTCACCGAAAAGCCCTGGCCTGCCCTCCTCCTGAGGCCCAGGGGCAGCCAGACCTCTCCTCTGAAGCCATGAGCCCCTCCCATCCTGCACGCCCAGCCCTGGCCAAGCTTGGCCTGTGGTGGCTCCTTCTGACCCCAGCAGGTGAGTAAGTGTCATCACTAGGACCTCATGTCACACCTACAAGCTCACAGGCTGTGGAGGAAACTCCTGGGTGGGCTCCTGGCAAGTCTGCAGGGGACTTCAAGTAGCTCGGTCCACAGTGAGGGGCAGGGCGCGCACAGGTCAGACACTGGCAGCTGCGGCACCCGGAACCTCCCCGGCTCCAGTGTCCCTCATCTGTAAGTGCCAATCGCGCTGTGAACCTCCCAGGTCAGTTGTAAAGATCCTGTGAAATGAGAGGTCGTGACCAGCACCTGGAACACAGTCACGCTCAATGCATGGCGACTGCTCCTATTGGTTGCTTCTCTGGATTTTAGCCTCCACTTGCTCAGGCAGCAGAGCCCTAAGAGGTGAAGCTGTTCGCAGAACAGACACGGAGAGTCCCATCAGACAAGTTTGGGACACTTTTCCCTAGCTCCTCAGTTCTGGGCTGAATCTCGTCTCTAGGTCTGACTTCTTCCTCACTCCTCTGCCTTGACACCCCTCCTCAACACTCATTTCCATGCCTTCGCAGAGAACAAAGAGCAACGGACATTTCTCGAGTTCCAACCATGTGCTGGTTGTTAAGTTCGCACACACATGGCCCTATTTAATCCTCAACAGTGTTGTGAGATAGGTTCTGGAGAGCCTCCCCACTTTACAGATGAGGAAACTGAGGCTCAGTGAGGCTGAGTGGCTCTGATTTGATGGGAGAGGGAGTCGGGCACCCGCCACCAAGGACTCCTGGAGACCCCACTCTTCCTTCCTGTCCCACAGTGTCGGCGCCGCGAGCCCCCCACACCCAAGCCGAGGATCGCCTCTTCAAACACCTCTTCGGGGCTTACAACCGCTGGGCACGGCCAGTGCCCCACACCTCGGACGTGGTCATCGTGCGTTTCGGGCTGTCCATAGCCCAGCTCATCGATGTGGTATGCCTGTCCCACCGCCCTTTGAGCCCTAGGGATCAGCCCCCAGAGCACAGGCCCCTTTGCTGGGGTCCTCCCTCCCCCTCAGCTCCAGCACCTGTCCCTCTGCACCCCCAGCCCACCTCGTCAAAGCTCCCCTTCCTCCCAGCCCTGGGGCCACTCCTGGGAGGACACTGAGTCCGCAGTGGGTCTCTAGATGCTCTGCTCATTCCACTGGACACAAGCCCAGAGGACCCAAGGGGCCTGTGTGGTCCTCAGTGTCGGGAGGGGTGTTGGCTGGGCGGGGCTTGCTGTAGCATGTAAGAGGGCCTTCTGGAGAGGGAGGGGCTGGAGTCAGCCCGCCCCAGGTCCCCCTGTCTTCTGGGGCTGGTTCTGCTGCTCTAACTTCTCTTCTCCCTCCCGCTGCCTCCCGGCCAGGATGAGAAGAACCAGATGATGACCACCAACGTCTGGCTCAAGCAGGTGAGGGCCCCTCCGGGTAGGCAGGAGCAGGGGCCATGCTTTCCCTCTGCCGCCAGCTCCCTCTCCTCCCCGGGTCCCTCCCCAGGGTCATGCATTTATGTACACGTTAGGCGACTATTCCTGGAGGGGAAACGGCATCACGCAGGGGGCCCTTTTCATCACGGCGCTGTTTTAGTGCAAATGCACGAAAGAAAAACGGCCCATGGACCGGGAGGCAGGGTGCAAGCCCCGGTGCTGCCAGCAAAGTTGCCTTTCTAGATGGTAGCGGTTATTATTTTAATTATGATGAGCCCCCGTGAGGCGAAGGACAGGCCTGCGTGTCCATGCCAGTCCTTCTCTCTTGGGAGTGGTTGTTCCTTTTAGGTCCAGAAGGGACACGGGAAACCCTCCCGGGAGTAGGACCCTACCACTTGCGAGTTTTTTCATTGCTGGGATATTCGTGTATTGAGCATGTACCAGGGGCCGGGTGTTAGCAATGCAGGTGTTGTCCTTGGCTTCCTGGAGCTTCCAGGGGCATTACATCAATAAACACGCACAGCCACCTGTCATTAGCATGTGTGACAGGGCCATAGAGGAGACTTCAGAGAGTGAATAATACTCACCTGGTTTGGGGGAGAAAACAGATTCACTTGGACCGGCTGGTGTAAGCCCTGCTGGGACTCCTAGGGGGCGCTCTGGCGCACATTTGAACTCCCCTTTCTTAGCTGTATACTCTGGCAGGCTTTTACCTCTCTGCTCCTCGGTTGCCTTATCTGTGAAATGGAGAAATACTCCCACCTTTTGGCATTCCCTGCCCGAGTGCAAAAAACTGTAAATTGTGATGCATTAACAAATGTTACTGCAAATGAGTGAGGTCCTCTCCACCCCCTCCACTAAGTCCTCCGCTAGGACATAGCAGAATGAAGACGCCTAGAAGCGGGACTAGGGTGCCTTATGAGCCCCGGACTCTGGACATGAGAGCTGGGGCAAAGCGAGAGATTGGCCATGTCCGACCAGACTCCTGACGCCCAGCCCCGAGCCCTGCCTGCTCCGTGGGGCTGGGTGACGAGCTCTGGTCAGAGCTCCTGAATCCGGCTGCTGGGGCCTCCCCGGGCTGCCCCGTGTTTGCCCCGAGACCGCCTCCTCGGCAGCACCAGGCGCCCTGACTCCCCTCCCCACGCACAGGAGTGGAGCGACCACAAGCTGCGCTGGAACCCGGCCGAGTTCGGCAACATCACATCCCTCCGCGTCCCTTCGGAGATGATCTGGATCCCGGACATTGTCCTCTACAACAAGTAGGACGCCGCCGGGGTCTTGGGGGGGCCGGGGGAGGCCCCCGAGAGGAGTTTCTGGGTTGGACTTGGGCAGCGCGCCCCCTTGTGTCTCACCTCTATGTCTTTCTCTGAAGTCCTGCTCTGCTATTACTACCTCCTACTCCCACCTTTTCTTTCTTTCTTTCTTTCTTTCATTTTGTTCTCTTCCCCATACACCCGAATTTACTGCGCACCTGTTAAGTCTCAGTGCTTGGTGCTGTGCGAGTGGGATACAGATTTTCCAACACTATTATTTGAAAAGCGTGGCTGGTGCGGGCTGTGAAAACAATGCCTAAGGCTGGAATTTTGCAGGAGGGCAGTGTTGCTAGAGCAGGGAAGCAGCGGCTGGGGTACCACCCTCGAAGGCAGCAAGCTCACTTGGCATGGGTATTTTTAAAAATCGTATCACTTATATAGTTGCCTTGTATTCAAGACAAAAAAGGACCAGTCTTTGAGCATACTGACTAGAAGCCAATAAAAGGCAGGATGGTCTCTAGAGAACCAGGCAACAGAGGAGGGGAAGGAGAAATGGTGTTTGGTCGCAGGTAGTTCTTCATTTAGAAGTCTAGCGTTTAAAATTAAAAGGTATTTGGCATTATGTTCATGTGAAATGTTGTCTAAAGTGGGGCTCTAAGGAAATCCCGGGGATATGAGTAGACATGAAAAAATGGCCCTGTGGTCAAATAATCCTGGATAACACTGCAGTCGTTGACCCTCCCGGTCCTCTGGGAGACACAGCAGCGTTTCAGTGTTAGAAGTTGTGCAGCCAGGAAACCAGTTCAGCCCAGCATCTCCAGATCCATTTGACCCAAATTTGGAAAAGCCATTTTTTAAAACAATAGGACAAAGGGAAAAGATAGACTTTTGGAGTTTGGGTGCCTCCGGCTGGGTCAGAGGGGGAGCCACAAGGGTTCCCTCTCAGTGGAGCCATTTCTGTAAACTGTCAGCAAGGGTTACTGGGAGGTCAACACCGCAGGTGCCCAGGGCCTGCTGCTGCCACCGGAATCACAGGCACCTCACCCCATTTCTCTGTGTCCTGAAGCCAAGATCCACCTACTTTCAGCTTCTTGTGCTTCTGGCACGAGTCAGAAGCAAAGTCCTTAGCATCCCAGATGCCCTGGAGTTGTAGGATGGCCAGCCAGGCTTTGGCCAGTGTTACTTGAATGTAACAGGTAATTCTTACGACAGGACAAAACCGCAAACCAAACTCTTATATTTGAAGAAGGATGTCCTCCGCCCAAACACCCCATTCCAGGTTTAATGAAGATCAAAGACATCGCACTCTCCTTCCTCAAAACAGGGCGCATGTGGCCATCTAGTGGTGGTTTTGTGTGATGACACAATGCCTTTAAAAAAAAATTTTTTTAACTTTTGCCCAATCTGGGATTCTCTTTCAAAGTTTCCCCCGTTTTCTTTAAAAATATGTTTTTATTGATTTCAGACAGGAAGGGAAAGAGAGATAGAAATATCAATGATGAGAGAGAATAATTGATCAGCTGTCTCCTGCACGCCCCATACTATTGGCTCAAGCCTGCAACCCCAGTGTGTGCCCTGACAGGGAATAGAACTGTGACCTCCTGGTTCGTAGGCAACATTCAGCCACTGAGCCATGCCACTGGCTGGACAAGCGTTTTCTTTAAAAGGTTCCCATTTTCTAATCTCTAGCTTGGAATGACTCCATGGGAAAGAAGTCTCTTCCTGCATGTTCTGGTTCTCCTGCGTTTAGGATTGACCTTGAGAATTATTAAAGACTAAAGGCCCAGTGCACAAAGTTCATGCATTGGTAGTGTCTCTAGAGGCTGCTGGCTGCCAGCAGGGCACTCCCGCCCTTCTACCTGCCCCCTGGTCGAACTCCTGGTGGAGGGAATAATTTGCATACTATGCTTTTATTATGGAGGACTAGGGAGCAGAACACTGTGTCACCTCCTAGAGGGAATCAGGGGTTCAGGCACCCAATTCCAGTGTGCCCAGAATCCCTTGTGTCCTTAGATGCCTAGCTCCATGATGCAGCAGGCCCTGCCCCTCTAATCCAGGCACACCCCGTGAATTTTGTGCTTCCCCTCCTGTTCCTTGTTCTGGAGGACGCTCTGCTGGGACCTTCTCCACCTCATCTCCCCACCAAGTCCTATCATCAGTCAAGGCCTTGCTCAAGTGGCAATTTTCATGGGGACCCTGCTCACTCCAGCCAGAAGTGCTCACTCCAGCCAGAAGTGCTCGCTCCAGCCAGAAGCGAGTCCCCCCCACAGTTCTTGAGGAGCGCTCAGACAGCCCTCAGAGCGCTGCTGGCAGACTGCCTCCCTTGGGTGGTGGGTGTTTGGGGCTGTGTCCTATTTCCTCCTGCTTCCTTCAGGGCAGGCTGAGTCTCACACTGTGTCCCCCTAGTGCATGAGGCTGGCTCAGAAATGCACAGTAAATGGATAGCACCAAGGCATTTCCTTCCTTTACTAGCAAAGATGCTGGGTCTCTTCTCAGCAAGGTACTAAGGATCCCAGGTGGACAAGACGTGACCCCCAGTGGAGGGCCTTACCATTTGCTGGGGGGAGAAAATGCACTCATAAATAATCACTTTAAACTAGTAAATAAATACAAACAAAAATCAAGCTACACTACCCCATAAACACATAATATATATGTGATCTATAGGGCAGTCAAATATATATTAGAGGCCCGATGCACAAAATTCATGCAAGAGTAGGCCCTCGCAGCCCCTTGCAGCCCCTCGCAGCCCCGGCTTCGTCTGGACAGTCATTCTGCTGTTCAGTCTAATTAGCATACCAGCTCTTTATTAAATAGGATATAACATCAGAATGTTAATAGTGGCTGTTTTTGACATTCTTGGAATTTTATATTCTTCAATATTTCTGTTTTGTAATGTAAAAAAAAAAAAATGGTGCTTGAAAAGACAACAGCAGTAGCTGTAAATGGCCGTGTCCTTGGGGAGTCTCACACAATGGCTTAAAACCCAATAACTTGGTCAAGTCTGGCTTTGTGGTCGGGGTCCCCCGGCTGCAGCCTGGTTTGGGCAGGTGGGGTGTGCCAGGCCCTCCAACTCCTCTCTTCTCCTCAGTGCAGACGGGGAGTTTGTGGTGAACCACATGACCAAGGCCCACCTCTTCTCCACGGGCACCGTGCACTGGGTGCCCCCCGCCATCTACAAGAGCTCCTGCAGCATCGACGTCACCTTCTTCCCCTTCGACCAGCAGAACTGCAAGATGAAGTTCGGCTCCTGGTCGTATGACAAGGCCAAGATCGACCTGCAGCCGATGGAGCAGACGGTGGACCTGAAGGACTACTGGGAGAGTGGCGAGTGGGCCATCGTCAACGCCACGGGCACCTACAACACCAAGAAGTACGACTGCTGCGCCGAGATCTACCCCGACGTCACCTACTACTTTGTCATCCGGCGCCTGCCCCTCTTCTACACCATCAACCTCATCATCCCCTGCCTGCTCATCTCCTTCCTGACCGTGCTGGTCTTCTACCTGCCCTCCGACTGCGGGGAGAAGATCACCCTGTGCATTTCCGTGCTGCTCTCGCTCACTGTCTTCCTCCTGCTCATCACCGAGATCATCCCCTCCACCTCCCTGGTCATCCCGCTCATCGGCGAATACCTGCTCTTCACCATGATCTTCGTCACCCTGTCCATCGTCATCACGGTCTTCGTCCTCAATGTCCACCACCGCTCCCCCCGCACCCACAATATGCCCCACTGGGTGCGGGGGGCCTTTCTCAGCCGTGTGTCCCGGTGGCTACTGATGAAACGGCCTCTGCCACCCTTGGAGCTCCATGGCTCCCCAGATCTGAAGCTCGACCCCCCCTATTACTGGCTGGAGACCAATGTGGATGCGCAGGAGAGGGAGGAGGAGGAGGAAGAGGAAGAAGAGGAGGAGGAGGAGGACAGATGGGTGCCATCCCCCTCCACGGGTGTCCTCTACAGCCATGGTGGTCTGCACCAAAGGCTCTCCTGTCCCAAGGCGAAGGCCCCATTGCAGAAGGGCAGGCTCCTGCTGTCACTTCGCATGCAGAAGGCACTGGAAGGCGTGCACTATATTGCTGAGCACCTGCGGTCTGAGGACGCTGACTCTTCGGTGAGTTGGGCCTGGGCCCCTCCCCTGGGTGACCTTATCAGCCTAGAAGGGCATCACCTTACCCCAGGGTGTTGGGTGGGCCAAACCAGTCTCCTTCATGAGAGGACCCATCTCCCTCAGTCATGGCCTCGGGAGTAGAAATAAATAGTGATGGAGAATGTCTAGTTGGCAGCTCTTAAGACATGTGTTGGCAGGTGGCAGACTAAGCCTGACTGGGAGACAGCAAGATGGAGGGGAGGGATCGCAGGTGCAGAGCTTCTCACACCACTCCGCCATTTCTCACCATTACCCCGTGGGGTTTGGGGGTGGGGGTGGGGGGTGGGCAAAGGGAGTACCATCCAGAGAGACCATACATCGGGCTGCTGCCTTCCTCCTTTGTCCTGATGTCTCCCTCCTCCTGGGCATTTTGTGAGCTTCACTGTTGACCAGGTGGGCTCCCCCCCCCCCCCCGGCCTCTGCCATGTCCGTCATTATCGGTGAGCCGGCCCTGCCCAGGATCACACAACTCTTCTTAACAACCCAGGGAAGGGTGAAAGGCCAGGAGGCTATCACTGGGTGGCCTTGTGGAGTCGATAAGAAACATTCATCATGATCTAATCTGGGAGCAGCTAGGAGTTCAGACCCACTCACCTGCTCTGTGAGCCCAAATTCCACAAAGCACCCCACTCCCCCACCCTCACCTCCAACTCCCCCAACCTTTCCTGGGCAGCACCTCCCCTCCCCCTCTCCACCTCCTGGAGTGGGTGGATGAGTGGGGGCCGCGGGAGCAAAGTGGGGCAGCGAGTCTTCCCCATTTGTAAGTACCAGGTGGTGTGTTTAAACCACTGTCAGCCCTGGGTGGGCCCAGAACCTGCTTGTCCCCTCCAGCCTCTCTCACCTGGGCCTTGGGAGCCTCGGGAGAGCTCTGGGCTATGTCAAGGGCAGGACAGGGCGGGAATCACTTAGGGAAATATTGCTTGAGTCTTGAGACAACCCTACTCCACACTTGCCCCCATTTTAGCTTCTCAAGGTCTCAGTGAGGGCCCCCTGGCCCTGTTGCCATTTTTTACAGGGGCTGGGCCTGAGAGAGACCCACCCCTTTCCAAGGCTGGGGCCTGTCACTGAGTGCGCCCCCCCACCCCACCCCACCCTCCCTTGCAGGTGAAGGAAGACTGGAAGTACGTGGCCATGGTCATTGACAGGATCTTCCTCTGGCTGTTCGTCATCGTCTGCATCCTGGGGACCGTGGGACTCTTTCTCCCCCCGCTCCTGGCTGGAATGATCTGACTTCACATCCCTGGCTTCCGCCCGAAGGTGGCCCCCTGCCCTTGTTTGCTGCTGCCTCCAGAGTCCACCTTTGGGGTCCACACCCGGTGACTGCCGGTGCCTCTCCGTGGCGTCCCGACACTGGCCCCGCCATCGAAGACTTCCTGGCCCCACTCACCCGGCAGACACACTCTGTGCTGAGAAGCTCCTGGGCCCAGAGCCCTGTAGGGATGCGGAGGAGCAGGAATGGAGGCAGCTGCTCTGCAGAAGGCCATGCCGAGGTGCTGACCATGTGAAGCTCAGGAGAGCTACAGACACCCAGTGTCAGGAGGGCCGAGCAGGGGGAGCCGATGGCAGGGGTGGGGGTGGGGCCAGGCGAAGAGGAACAGAACACAGACCTCAAAGGAGGCGTCATTGGGAAGAGGGGAGAAGGCGCCAGGGGGGCACACGGGCTGTGAGCAGCGTTTTGGATTCTGGAATGAGTCTGAAGTGTCGGGGCAGCCGGGCTGGGGTTGGTTCCAGTGTGGGGAGCAGTGGCTGGCGGTTGGGAAGGTGGGTTGGGGTGTCTGAACCGGGTAGAGAAAGGGGTTCAGAGTCTCAGACCGCAGACCTGACAGCAGAGCGGCAAAGGCTTTCCGGAAGGGGAGGAGGGGAGGCAGGGCAGGGGAGTGGAAATGCAGGGTGACCCTCGGCAGAGGGAGGAGGGTGCATGGTTGGATGCCGGTACTGGGCCAGCCCACACAGCTCCGGTGAGCCCTGAGACATGCCCTGCCCTTTAGCCTTCCCCTCCACCCCATTCCCCAAAACTGGCTCAGCACCAGCTGCCCCAGGAAGTTGAGAGTCCCTGTCTACAGGGGCACCATCTGCCTTTCAACTCGGGTGGACAAACCACAAGGCCATCTCGAGCCACTTTCCAGCCACATCAAGCCTACAGCTTGCTCCCTCCCTCCCTCCACAGGGCAAGCGGTGGCTGGTGGGCACTGAGAAGGGGCTGCTGTGTAAATGCAAACACGCAGGACCAGGACCACTTCCCTGCCCAGCATGCCCTCCCCGTCCTTCCCAAAGCCCCACAGCTTGTCTGACTGGCTCTGAGCTGCCCTGTGCTGTCTGTTCTTGAACTTGGAATCCAGCAGTCCATGGCCCTGGCTGCGGTGGTCAGGCCCCAGCCCTGCCCCATCCAGACCCACTTCCCCAGCAGCCAAAAGATGTGGGCACTGGGTTCTTGGGTCGGTGTGGGGACCCTAGGCAGAGAGCTGAGCAGACACTGACTGTCAGGAACTGAGTGTCAGGAGGCATCATTGGGAAGAGGGGAGGCACACGGGGGGCACACATGTTCTGTTCCTCTTTGCCTGGCCCCACCCCCACCCCTGCCTTCGGCCTTTGGGGTCCTCTCCTTCCGAAGTCCCCCTTCGCCTCCCCCTACAGACCACGTGGAAACCCAAGACACCTCAGGCCCAGCCTCTGCCCCTCAGTTCTCACCCAAGATCCCCACTCAGTGGCCCATTCTGATTTCTGACCTCCCCCCCTCACCCCCCCTCCCCGCTTCAATGCACACAGCCCCACCTCCCCTCCCTCCTGGCTCGCCCAGCCTGGATCTCCTGGTGACGTGATGTTCCCTTATGTTAGTCTGTCTCCCATCCAGCTTGCATGTGAATAAAGTGATCAAATAAAATGGAAGGCACTGTTCATCGATCTGTGGGACCCCGTGTCAGCATCCCCAGGACCCCCAGAACCTCCCCCAGAGCCCTGGTTGTGGGGATGCCCGCTGTGAGAGTGCCATTCCTCACGTGCCTGTGTGGGGGCTGCCCTGGGTCCCCCCTGGGAAATGTCCCTTTGGTCAGGTGCAGGGGCACAGGGGCTGGGGCTCATGTCTGACCCCCCTGCCTGGGTGTCACCGGGCACCCCTTGGTTGAGCCCAGGCATCAGCCCTTGATCTCTGCCCAACTGAGCACAATCCCTGTCTTCGAGGGAGGGCTGTGGTTTGAGGTCTGTGTTTCCCCACTGAGAGCAGGTCAAACCAACAAAGCAATCAAACCACAAAGCAAATAGTACAATTTAATTCATCCACAAGGCAAATAGAAAGAACGTAAAGGGTGTTCTGCACAAACACAAGGGAGGAGGAGGGAGGAAGCTGGTGAGGAAGAGGAAAGAGGGAGGAATAAGAAAAGAGGAAGGAAGGAGGAGGAGGCAAAATACGGAAAGAAAGAGAAAAGTGGGCGTGAGGAAGAGAGTGGATTGTGGTCCAGGTCCTGTTTGGCCTCCACTCCCCTTCTCCTCGACGCTTGGCGTGTTGGCCACACAGCGTCCTGTGCCCAGCCTCCCACTAGCTTGTTGCTGGACTGTGTCCCAGGCCCCCCTCCAGGGGTGCATGGCTGTCCGTCCAGATCAGACTCACATTAAATAAATTCCAATATACACTGTACAAGAAAGCCAGGTCCATCCCTCATCTCACCGACCATCCACTCCGCCAAAGAAAGCCCCTCTGGGGCCCCTCTGCATTGGGGGACTTCCGTGGGCAGAAGAGGACGAAGGAATAGCTTGGTTCCCACAGGGCCTGCTATGTCCATGCATAAAGCCATCATGGCCACTAGGGGCATCAGCGGGACCCCCAGCAGGCCCTGCAGGTAGGAGAAGGGAGTGGCCAGTGGCAGCTGTGCTCCCTCTGAGCCCTGGTGGTCACCCCCTGGCTTCTACAGCCCTGAGTCCCCTCTGTCCAGCTGCAGCCTGAGCAGCACAGTCTGGGTGTCGGGTGGGGAGAGGGGGTCGTGCAAAGTGGCAAGGGAAGGACTCCTCTCGGCCTTCCCCCTGAGAAGACCCATGTGGCCGAAGGCAGGGCAGGGCCGGGGGCAAGGGAGGTACACGACAGGCAGGGCGAAGACGCAGGCGGATGGCCCACCCTCCGTCACTCTGCAGGCGGGTGGGCCAGGTTGGCCAGAATCTTGGCCTGGTCCACGGCATCGAGCAGGTTCTTGGCGTCCACGGCCAGGGTGTGGGAGGCCGTGAGCATCTGCCGCTTGCACTCCTCGCTCAGGGAGGTCACAGCGTTTTGCTGGGCCAGTCGCATCTTATTGATGAGCTCCGCCAGGTCCTTGTTGAGCAGTTTCTGGGTCCCTTCAATCTGTGGGAGGAGTGCACAGGAGAGGCTGGGGGCCTAAGCCACGCACATGTGCACCTGGGTGTTGGCGGAAGCAGTCAGAAGTTCTCTGGGGGACAAGTCAGACCCAGGCCGGGGCCGAACAAGGCCTTGTACGGCCGGAGCACAGTCACCAAGGACTGACATTGTAGACACCCTAGACCCCAGCCCACCCCATGCCAGCCCCGTCTGATCCAACCCCACAGGCCCTCCTCTTATCACAGCATCCTCTTGTGCTGGCCCAACGTTCGAGCCAATGGTTGAGGTCAAGTGCTTTCATCCATTTGTGAGCTGCCTGTCATCAAATCCAGAGCCCTGGGCCTGTGGATGGAGCTGTAGCGTTTGTTTACAGACCGAAGCTTAGCACAGTTCTGAGCACAAGCTCAGCACTCAAGTATTTATCAGGTGAGATGAGTGACTGGGTCATTGTGCCCAGGGCAAGGCGCTCTCATGTCAGACCGCACAGCCCGGCCTGCTCCTCTGTGGGCTGCTGCTGCCACCCAGAGGGAGGCTGGGAACCCCCCTCCCCCACAGTGCTGTCTTGAGCAGCACAGACTGGGGCTCCGGTGGTCACCTGTGCCACGTCGCTGACCACTGGGAGATGCCACATCAAACCGCAGCCCGGCAGGGGCGTGGGCTTCCTCACGGTCTGCATCTGGTTTCCAGGCAGACAAATGTCAGCGCACTGACTGCGCTTCCTATGGCTGCGGTGATGGAGTCCCGCAACCTGGTGGCTTAAAGCCACACAGACTAGACTATCCTCCACCATTCCGGAGGGCGGGAGTCTGGCCAGGTCCTGTGGGGCTGAAGCTGAGGTGGCCGGGCCACGGGCCGCGCTCCTGCAGGCTCCGGGGAGACGCTGCCCCTGCCTGTCCCGCTTGGCCTGTGCCTCCTTCCAGCCAAATTTGAAATCACTTCACATCTCCCATCCTTCCCTGACTCTCACAAGAACTCTGCGCCCGCCTCCCTCATAAACAGACCCTGTGACTACGTTGTAATCAGTGCAATCGCCCCACCTCAAGATCCTTAACTTGTCCCATCTGCGAAGTCCCCTTTGCCATGGAGGGTAACCAAGTCCCGGGTTCTGGGGACTAGGACAGGGAGCGATTTGAGGAGCCATTATTCTGCCCACACAGGCCCCATCTCCATGCAGAGCACCAAGCCTCCTATGTCAGTTTTCGGCTATTGTTTCTCACTTAAATAGAGAAAATTAGATTCAAGGGCCAACAAAAGCACCCTTCACTGCTATTTCCATAACACACTCACCTTCACTCTAGTAGGGAGGGGACTAGATCAAGGACCGCAGGAGGGGCAAAAGGGAAGGTGTGTCCTCCTTCCTGTCCTCACACTTTAAGATGTCACTGCAGCTACCTGAGACCTAAACTGGGAAACCGGCCCTAGGAAGCCGGCCAGGGCCCCGGTGCACACTCAGCGCCCCCGAGGAACAGGCTCAGACACGCTGTGCAGGGCCCCGGCTGCAGGCTCGCCAGGCAGAAGTGAGGCTGCCCCGGTGGCCTTGTGCGCCCCCCGGTGTGAACCACAGCTGGGGCAGGGGGAGGCGAAGGGGAGCCGGAGGCACTGTCCGAGACAAGGACACTCACCTCCGTCCGTGACGACGCCGGCAAGGAAGGCAGGATACTGTCCACGCTCCCGATCAGCTTCCGCAGGGTCAGGCCCACGTTCTGGGGGAGAAAGGGCAGGGCGGCTGTCACCTTCTGTTTGTTGAGAACGCCATGCTTCCCTTAGGAGAGCACTCCTGATCGGCAGCTGCCTTCTCAGGCTTCCTGGGACTAAGGGGGCTCTGACCACCTTGAGCTAATGGAGTTCTTCCAGGGTAAAGACACCTGCCGGGCAGACCGGGGAGCTCCGCCCTCGCCCCTCCCCCCAGGGCTGGGATGAGCAGCCTCCACCGTCCTGGTCCCGGTTCTGGCCCTGGTGCTCACCTTCACCACCATCACGTAGGCCTCGGGGGGCAGCTGGCAGAGTTTATTCTTGAGGTCCAGCACAGCCTGCACCAGATCCATGACATTGTCGTACACCATGTCGTCGGTCCGATCCAGGTTGGCTGTGGGCTGGATGGACTGGTGGGGGTGTCTCGAGTCAGGGGGACGCTACCGTTCTTTCCTGGGCGGGCACTCGAGGTGCCGGCTCAGCCACCCGCCCCGTTTGAGAAGACTCTTCCCCAAAATAGCAGTGCCCTGTCCTGTGGGTGCACCCCTCCCTTCTGCTTCCTGGCAGTGGTTCTCACATTAGACTCGGCTGGGAGCCTTACAGAATCCTGGTGGCCAGCTCCACACCAGGCCAACTGAGCATCACCTGGCATGGAGGCAGGCAGGTAGGTGGGTTCAAAAGCCCCTCGGTGTTTCTAATGGACAGACACGGCTGAGAACCACTGCTCCCAAGTGAGGAAAGGCAGCGCCCAGCCCAGGCTGCTGCAAGAACAATGCGGGTGCTGAACGCCAAGGGGGCGTGGGCCAGGGAGGAAGGGGCCCCCACCTCCTGCTCCCAGGGCAGGACCCATGAGCTGTCCTTCAGGTTGGGGAGGAGACACGGGAGACAGGAGAGGGGTCTTCCCCTTGCTTTTTCACGGATTAGCTGTGTGGCCTTAGGCAAGGCGCTTCCCCTCCTGGGCCTCAGCTATATCAGGAGGACACTGGACTAGAGTATTTCCGGGGGCCTCTGAAATCTTTGCCGTCTTAGGTCTGGGGGAGCCTTGATTCAAAGTCATTACCAGCTTTGACAGAGCCAGCACATACCTGTGCACCCAGCCTCGGCGGCTTCTGTGGGGGACCCGTGAACTCCGCTGAAAAAGGAGGGAGAGTTCTCAGCACCCTGGCCCTTCCCTTTGTACCTGCGGAGAGCCAAGCCATTCCCCTCTCCTCTACCACCAGAGGATCTGGAGAAATGAACCTCTAGTTCCAGAGGATGGCCCTCCTGGAGTCCGGGACACGTACAGTTGTCCACTTACAGAGAGGAAAAGCCAAGTCGCAGCAGAGATGGGGTGACTGTGAGGGTGCGCCAGCCCCTGCGAGCCTGGGCGGCGGCCCTGAGAACAGCACACACTCTGGCCTTGACAATCACGAGGAACAAGCTTCGCTCCGTGAAGGCAGCAGGTGGCTGCGGAGTCCCCCCACTGGTGCCGCAGCAGCTAACGGGGTAGGTGTGTGCGAATCCCCCAGTGCTCCGCTTTGAGCATGTGTGGAGTCAGGGAAGTGAAACAGCAGAAGAGCCACACCCTTCATGCCCCGTGGTGAGAAGCAGACACACCGAGCCCTGCGGAGCTGCTGGGAGAGCCAGCCGCGGAGCGGAAGTCACGAGACCTGGCTCTGTGACCCGGGGCGGCTCACTTACACTCTCTGGGCCTTAATTTTCATCTGTCAAATAAGGGGGTTGCTCAGAAGGGTTCTTGGAGCCAGCCTGCCCGGGCTCACATCTGAGCTGTGCTAATCAGCAGGTGTGTGACTTTGGGTAAGTTCCTTAACCTGCCTGTGCCTTGGTTTCGTGGCCTTTGTACAATGGGCGTAATAATAACTTGTCTTAATTC